AAAAAAATCTCCACTTCAGGGTAAGAATGGTGTTCGTTTCCGGCACAAAGGTTAAGATTGTCAAGAAGAAGGTCACCAAGTTCAAGAGACATGAGTCAGAAAGGTGAGGGTTTTACTTTTGGTTATGCAGCTTTGCATTTGGAGCTGTTTTAAAGAAACAACATCAATAGTTTAGATACCACCGCCTGAAGCCCAACTGGCGTAAGCCAAAAGGTATTGATAATCGTGTTCGTCGACGATTTCGTGGAATGCGTGCTATGCCTACCATCGGTTTCGGATCAGACAAAAGGACCAAGTTTGTTCTCCCATGTGGATACAAAAAAGTCCTTGTTAGAAATGTGAAGGTTTGTGTTTTGAGTAAATTCTATTTCCATGGTATTCTTTCTGTACTTTATTTTCTTACTTATGCTTGTAACCATCATTTCTAGATAATTTTCCAACATAACACGTATCTACATGACAAAGAAATGTTGTTTCTGTTCAAACCACCCTTGCGCTTTTATTTTCAAGAATCTCAAAAGGGGGAAATACTGCACCGGATGCAAGCTTAAGTAGCTCATTGCTCGCTCGCATGTTGCATGCAGGTTGATGATTGTGCACACTTTTTTTCTTGAACAGACGCAAATGTTTCCCCTACTTTATGTCCTTGTTTTTGAAAATATGCAAGGAAAAGTTTTGATGCTATATTGCTATTATCAATGCATTAGCAAGTGCTCTGCTGGTTATACCGAGTAGTGGTTTGTTGTGCGGTGGTTAGTTGCTTTTTACAAATTTTGTTTGCCTCAGCCATGGAATTCAAAGCTTATAGTTTTTCTCTAGAATGCTTCTATAAACCTTTCATCTGGCGGCTCAAATGTGCTCTATAGCACATGTTTGATCGCTTATTTTTCTCCCTTATTGAACTCATGTTTCTTCAACTTAGAATCAAAGCAAATTGAGATTATCTTATTTTGGTATGGAGCAGTTGAGTGATATTCGGTGTATATCTCAGAATGCACTCATCTACGCACTTAGCAGTGGACATCTTTTTCTTTGAGTAGTTCTCCGATTCCACGATAATTAACAAGCAGACGAATGGGAAATTGTTGTTTCAGTATTTTCAATGACATGATTTTACAATCATCTGACAGTTTATTCAGATGAATGGGTACTCTAAATTCGAGAGTAATGATCTTCAATCTTTTAGGATCTTGATATGCTTCTCATGCAGTCGTTCCGATACATCGGTGAGGTTGCTCACACCGTTTCCGCCCAATCCCGGAAAGCTATTGTAGAACGCGCTGCTCAGTTGAACATCAAGTTGACTAACGGTCATGCTCGTATTCGTACTGAAGAGAGCGAGTAAAATTGTTTGTTTGTTGTTTGATAAATTGTTAATATCTTAGCACGTCGGCGTCTTTTCTCAGAACAGCCTTTTATACTTATTTTTCCTTCTCAGTGAGCTTTTTCGATCAGTGCCTACTTTTGGATCTGAAGTAACGATATTCAACAGTTACAATTGTTTTGTGCTCAAGAAAAAGAAACGAGAAGCATTGCTAACGTTTTGCCCACATCAATATTGCACTCTTCCTCATTTATGAGCTGTTTGTTGATAGTTGCTTAAGACTACTGGAAATGGGGATGTGCATATATCACGATTTACTCTTGAGGAACATATAGTCTACGTTTATCTTAGTCCCTGAAAAGTTCTTTTGGGGCGAGGTTCATATGTTGTTTAGAGACATATCAAGTAGAAATTAATTGTTAATTTTTGACAGTAATCAACTAAGTAACTATATTCTCACAAAGGAAGTTTTAATCTATAGCACCCAGCGAAAATGCGTATCTATTCTCTGCTAACAAATTTTCTGGATAACTGTAGACTATTCTATCAGAGTTTACAGGTTTTGCGCGATTTTTTTGATATTTTGTTTCCACACATCACTGGTTTGGCTCATTTCTTTGTGCTGTTCTCGAGACCACTCTCATGCAAGATGGTGCTCATGATAGGTCGTACGAAAGAACCCTACTCTCTTTGAACAGGTTTGCAGGGACTCTGTTTTCTTCTTTTCCTTACTTCTCGTGTATAGGCATGTATATGAAAAAGACTTAATTTTTTCAATAAGAAGAAAAAGTTGTGTTTAGTTATTCTTTTATTCAGGAGCATACGTAATATCTCTATTAAAGTTAGGACTTATAATAATATAAAGAATTACATTACATCTATATAAAATCTCAACACTCCTTTTTTAAAGGTAGAGTCTAGAAAGACATATATGACTTGTACTGCATGACTGTAATGTTGATTATTTCCGAGTAAACGTCCATTCATCAAAACCGAGGTTAGCATTCTCTGC